TGGAAAAGATGTATCACCAGTCTCAACTATACCCAATTGCTTCGATGTTGCAGCCCTAATAGTATTTAATACGCAACCCGCTCACCAGCACTGTAAACGCCTCTTTGACGTCATCTGCACCTCCATGATGAATTACCTAGAGTCGAGATCGGAGTTGCGTTCGTTATGCACACAATCTCAGTTACGTACACCTCACTTCAGTTTGCTTAGTATATTGCTCGTTCGTTTTACCAAAGCTCAGTGTAAATTCCTTTGTTCGCACTTACCCCTGCATTTCCCTTGAGAATTCAGAGATTTGTAGCTAAAATGAAAAATAGCTTAACATATAAGGCACACCACTGACCAGGTAGATAAAGTCGTTGCATCTCTGATAAGGCTAATGCCATCTGATGGAGGCTCCAGTACTGAGCGGTACAGGAATTTGGCTAGTGACCCCAACCTATAGCAAGGCCTTGAAGAAAAATAAATACAGGCAGCTAACCAAACCGAAAAGTGGTGTTACCCATGGTATGCGCTCGCAGAAGGGTGACGAAGGATACACGACTAGTGGTGGCTGGTATCCCGCCAATTGTTTTGCTTGCTGATGAAAGCTGCGCGCTCTATATAAAGGGCGCCAAAGCTGAAGATGATAAACGGAAGGCACTTCTTGTTAGGTGACATGAGCGATGGAATACAACTGGTCATGATGCATGGACTAGAATACTGATCCCAAATATTAAAACTTGGACTAACAACGAAGCGATGCAGATGGATTACTGGATACTGCACAGTTTCTGACAGAAGATGGTTGTTTTGACAGCTACCTGAAGAGGGTATGAAAGAAGAACTAAAAATAAAACACTGCATTTGGGCTTACTTATTGCGATCCACGTCAATTACAAAATGTTGTCTTGAATGTAGCTCTATAATAAATTGAGAAATTACATTCCTTAGGTTATAGTCTGATCAAGGTCAGCTCAGCTGCTTCTCTTCAACCCTGTGAGCCAGACCTTTCCTGAGTTGACAGCCTCATCTCTCTTTGAACTGCCTCACTCAACATCCAAAACGAACGCAACTTCCATCTTATAGAATAAAAAAAATTGGACAGGAGAGTGCGGCAATATGGAAAGCCTTCAAAGATCTGCACAGCATAATCAGACTTTTAGTAGACCACACCCAGTTGTTTGCTTTCCGTTTTCCTATCTCCACACAACTACAACCATGAAACAACATTGTATGCGCTTTATCATGGTTGCAGAAATGAAAACCAAACATATTAGGGAGAACCCATGGAATATGTTTTTTGGAAATTTTCTCACAATTAACGAGCCGGTTAGACGTGATCGACATCAGTGTCTGTATGAGAGATTACGGAAGCTCCTCCCGCTGCTACTTATTTACGCCCCTCTTAGAACCCTATGCTCATTTAAACATGTGCGTCTTCGGCTCGTTTCCATATGCAACCTACATTTTTCGGTGAGTATCTGGAAGTTTTTTTACGGGTTTTACTAAAAATTATTGCATCACAACGCGTTCCTTGTAATGTGGTCCATTCTTTTTCATGGCACTGCTCGAATAGTTACTTCCAAGAAATACACTTAAAACCTTAACGAAACGCGCAATCGATTCCGACTTTGGACTGAAATTTGGAGAATGGTCTACTTGTAGACAAATGTTGAAGAATGTCATAATGTTGCTGGTTCCCAATTTATCATAAAATGCCCGAAATTTAATTGCCGCGCTATGTATTTCCTTTGAGTTATTTAAGCAGTTATTCGAAGTTTTTTAAGTCATCAAAATCATTTATCAAATTCTTGTCTAAGAAAGGTCTATCAACAACATCCGATACTATACATAAACGATAATGTTATCGATAGAGCGTCTTGTTTGAATTAAGGTTTTTGGGGAATTATATTATACAAGTAAAAAACGTTATCTACAACATGAGCAATTTTTCTGGTTCCGAACGTATGTATACTAAAGCGAAAATTAGATATACCATGTGATGTATACAGATACAGATACCTTCGTTTCTCATATACTCCATATTTTGTGTGTATGTATAATATAATGTAGTTCATATAAGCCTAACGATCAGAAGCCTCTATCAAAGATACAGGTTTTACATACCTCATGATTTCATTACATTGTTGGACCACACTTGCCTCCGGACAAAATGTATATAATCCATATAGTTCTCTATAAATTGGTCTTAGATAGAAAAACATAGTCTTAGGGCATTGCTCAAATACGGCGTAAGATTCTTTCATACCCCGTGCAAAATGACGACATTGGTGTATCAAGTAACAGTCCCTGCCCTGGTTGTATTGTTTCTCAAGAGGAGGCTAGGAAATCCTCAAGATAATACTCTGGGCTGGCTGTAATGAACCTACAAAATATTCCCAGAGGTGTCCGATTCTTACGGACTAAAAATCCTTTCCCCTCTGTCCTTCGCTAATATATCATGAGACCGCCCATGCATGAGATGTCTCTGATTATCTTGGAATCTATTAATACATCACTACCTCTTGAAGCTTTCTCAATTGAGATCACTGATCGCTAGCCGGAAGGTTATCCTTGTTTTCATATAATATATAGGGAATTGACGCTAGAGTCTCTTGTGACAGATAAGTCCAATAAAATCCAATGTACAAACTTAACTTATAATGAGACGACTGGTGGGCGGGCTTCTATAAGTGACAGTGCTATAAACTACGGCTTACTGAGGAAATACAAAACATTCGTAGTCCAATCCACATATAATCTCATTTGCGATACATTCGTAACTTTGATATTTATTTGTTTAATTACTAACATAATGATGTGACTTTATGCTTGGGCCAGCATTATTTTCTGATATATGAATTTGTAATTAGGCTCGTTTTGTAGATCTTTCTATTGAATCGGTCATATCAGGCTAATCAAATAATCACTTAGCATATGAAAGTGTACGAATGCTACTTGTTATGATGACGTGGCCACATTTCGCCCATCTTTACTTGAATCTTTGTATTTCCTCTAGAATAAATTAATACTCGTACTTGCAATGTGTTTCACGGATATCCCACAAAACATTTCATACATTTCAATAAGGTTTATGTTGTTTAATCATTTTAAGATAGTGCGTATTTTGAGGGACATCTAGTCTGTTTACATACTTGACTTATTAACTAGGTCCTATATCTAGTTGGCCGTTTTACCGGCCTATCACCATTCAAATAGTGGATCATTCGATCCTGATATGTATGTGATCTCAGTTGATATATTAAATATATATTAAAATTTCTCAAATTAATGTACGTCAAATGAAACTTATATACTAGATAACGACTTATATCATCAACTGGCTACAACATCAATTTTGAATCCATGACACTTGTATCTACCAAAAATGATTTTGTGGTCAGCAGATGGTATACAAATCAAATCCAACCCTCAGAATGATACAGAGATCTACTGAAAATTTAGATCGGAAAACCATCAATTTTCGAAAACTGTGTACCATTCCAAGGATGCTTAGACATCTGAACAAAAATTGTCTTTAATATGATTTTATGTTACAAGTATGTATACTAGAATTGACAAATTGTCGAATTAGATGAAAATTCACAACCAAACCGTATAACACATCTATCGATTTTTTCGTAGCATAATTTTACGGAAAAGCACTTGTTAGTTAAATGCATTTTTTAAGTTTCTTAAGCATATCAAGGCAACCAATATCTACTACATGCTGTATTACGCGTATGTTCGATTTCAATTTTGTTGTTGTCTTGCATCGTTTTTTGCACTATGATACAGTTTTGGGTGGTAGCATATAAGCTACCAGTTGTTACAGTTGACTAGAGAAAATTGCCTTAACGCCCTACTACTGTACTAGAAGTGAGACTATGAAGCATTACCGGTTAACTAAATGCAATACTCTGGTGTTTTTACCCGAAAATCATACTAAATACAATTTTTCATGTGTTATGGGCGACATTTTTTGAATTGCACACATGCTCGCTCTGGCTAAATGTTTGGAAGGCAATTTTCCTAATAAATCAATATCCAAAAATACGTGCAGTAGAAAGTGCCCATATGCTGATATGTTTTCGACAGTCTTTCAGTTACTTAGATATGTTTATCAATCAGAATCTTTGCAAAGTGATATTGGTTTTTTCTCAATCTAGGCATACGATTTTACAGCTCCTATTCTAAAAACAACAAGGAGACCTTACACCCTTCAGGTTACCGATTTCGCAGCAGGTCTATGTTTTGAATGAGATCTGCTAGTGTCAGTCTCGCCATTTGTCAAAGTTTCAAAAACGCTAAATTACGAACATTGTTATGTCAAAATAGGCAGCTTGCAAGGTTTTTATGTAAGGTGATTTTACAAAAGTATTCATTTGTCAACACAATTTAATTCTGGATGATAATTGTCATAAAAGCAAAGCATAGACTCAACTATGATAGCATAAAGTACAACATATCAGAAACGTTTGAACAACCACAAGGTGTTTGCAACTTATCAAAGGGGAAACACACTTCATTATAATAATAATAATGGGTCTTTATTAAGGGATACATTACATTCATATAATGTTCCTTAAAAGGCAGTGTCTAGAAAACATCTACCCTACTGAACCTTTAATGACACATATTGAAAAAAAACTCTTTGGACAGGAAGTTTCGCTGCAAAACCATGCGTACTTAATTATTTTCTGAAAAATTGATGGTGCTTATTGAAGATGGATTAAAGATTGAAGTCGTATGGAATCTTCACGAGATGAGATTTCGTGTTTTTGTGCAACTAAAGATGGACAGTTTTGAATTTTTTTAAAACAGTTTTTGATTTGCCGTTGAAAGTAAACATCGCATGGTTGACAAATTGTAGTGCATTTCGGAGGAACAATAATTATTACAGTACACTTTGTCAATTCTTCCATTCAAGCATTTTTTAAACTTGGAAAAATACTGTGACTGACCCTTTCGAGAGAAATATCTGCCTTATTTTCAAATTGTACACCTTAGGGCTTTAAGACTATACTAAACGACCAAGTCCCTAACAACGCATAGAGCAAAATGCGGCAAAATCAGTGGACTCGAAGGGTGTAAGGTCGCCTTGTAAAAATAAAAACACAAGAAAAAGTTTCGACAGTTTTGATCTCCCCACAAAACAAATATTCAAAGTAGGTTAGATTACCAATTAATGAAGTATCTTTTGTTTCTTCAAGAAGATATACGCTGCGATAAAACTCCACTTCATATTTCAGATAGAGCAGACGTAGCAGCATATCCGCACCACAAAATACTGAAATATCTTCAGGATAAACGTATTTATTTTCACAGTCAACATTTTGTCCATCCGAGCTACTTGGCTCTCCAGCTCGTATGATTAATTTGACTTAAGATGGAGGAGGGTAAGCCTCTCATTAATCTGAGTTCCGTGTTGACTACTATATCACCCGTTTGATGTAACTGATAAAAGTGTTTTTGAGGTGCTTTTAATGGCCGCTTATACCCTTAATCAGTCAAAAACCGCCGCCCAAATAATTATGTGGGACTAATAATCTACGCCATAGCGTACTTATATCGTAATAGTAGAATACATCTCTTGATATGTATGTACAGCAGGAGGAACGATGAGTAGATAATGCTATTTACATTAATACACAGCAGAATATTGAAGAATTACTAACATATACAATATACAGTCTAAATTGCATTGTCGAATAAAGCTCCGGATGCTTTGTAATTTCAGTTCACCGCCTGATCTCATCTTTGATAAACTCTAAAATCGGATACTTGAAGTGGGCAAAGCTATTCCAGACTTAAATCGATACTACTTACTCCTATAGGTTAGAGGAATAGAATAATACCGACATCATAGATACCTCGAACATCCCAGAATGATCGACTAAATATGTAAAACCTCGAGACCAAAGGCCAATAGCTCATTTCGTAGTTTAGATACGTCACAGGAGGAGTATGCTTATCCAGTCATTTGGAAAGGATTTCCGCCACTACTGGGGATGCTACCAACACTGACAATAGGCTGTTGAAACGGAATGAAAAGAGCAGATGCTTGGGAACTGCTACTCCAACGATGGCAAGAAGCTTGGGACAACTGAGAAGGGTCGCTGGACGTGGCGTTTCATCAGGAACATGGAGCGGTAGGTGACCAGAGAGTGGGAGGAGGTCGACTTCTATATCACGCAGTTTCTCTCGGGGTACGGATGTTTGAGTCCTATTTCCATGGTTTTCATTTCACAGAAGATGTCAGCACTGTTGCATTCCGGATAACGCATTCCACACGTTTTTTGGATGGAACGTAACAACTGCCATAATCGGCTGGTGGCCCAAGGTTCGCCCGGACAGCATCGTCCAGCTGATGCTGCCCTCCCAAGCAAACTGGAATGCCGTGGCTTCGTTTGTTGGCACCGTCCTCGACAGCAAAATATCAGCAAGACTTCACACGCTGAGCACCGCAGTAGCCCGAACTCCTAATCCCCATGTTTATGGGGGAGGGGAGATGTAGGGCAAGAAGATCGAATAATGGACTGAACAAAGAAGAAAAGACAGCTCCCAACTTGAAGATATGTCCAAAAAAGACAGTTCCGGGAAAGGGACGGTTCGTTGGTCTCACTCGCTCCAGGCTGTTGTAGGGGGCCTGGTTAGCTAAGTGTTTAGAGCGTCGAGCTACTACTAGACCGAACCTAGGCTACCGGATTCGAATCTTCGCTGCGGGAGTTAATTAAGAGCCATGGGTGTTGTGTTGCGTGTTGGTGGCTTTAGGAGTAGTAGATTGTTGGTACTAAGGAGTCGACAAAAATGGTCAAAGGTAGCTTAGTCGCCAGGCTTGGCCTTCCCATCACTACTGCACTACTGACAGGCTGTGGTTCTCAGCTCTCAAGCATCCATCCAATGCACTTCCCGAGCAGGTTGAAAGATGGAATATGGGAGAGGCTGTAAAGTTGTGAGATGACTTCAATTTGAGAAATTTATTTTTATCTTCATACAACCTCAACGCACTTTACCAACTCAAACATGTTTGCTTCAATGAGCTACTTCAGCACAATAGATGCCATACTTTCGTGTATTAATAGTGATGCAAAGGTAACTAAGACTGTTTGTGAAATTTCTCCAAACAGCTATGCGGTTGGACTTGTAGAGGTAAACATTGTTGAGAGGTTTGATTAGCCCATGTACACCATCTGCTGTGGAAACTGGAGTATGGCTGAGCGATAGCAGTAATTTGGAGGCGAGATGACTGTACTTACCGAATGTAGAGATAAATCTCTGTTTTCTTGTAGGAACCTCTAAGTCTTCTAATTATATCCGACCATTCCTTTATGATTTTGTCATGTCGAACATTGGGCTACAATATTTGTTTGTTTATGCTCTTACGAGGTGTCCGAGAGGGCCGGAGAGAATAGAGAAGCCGCCAGTAAGGACACAGACGAATTTGAAGATAATTTTCAAAAATGTGCTTGGACACCTAGCGACGAGAATTGTGATATTTCCTTCCAAAACGATTGAGAATGATTGTTATTCACCAGTTCCGATTATACCTAGTTATTTTTCGAAACTTCTGCCATCTTCAACAGTCTGCGTAGAATTGAAGATATTCGCAAATAAAGTATTTGAATTAATCCTCTAGGTCCTGATCCCCAGATCATCGCTCTGAACTCACTCACGTCTGCTTCACGACGTTCTATGAGCTATACAAATCTATTTTCAAGGTGCAGTAGATGTAGATAAACACTATTGCTAGGGGGTTGAGGTCAGACTTGCCAGAGCCGTATGGAGTGCTCAGGCCATGCGGTGTTTACGAAAATCTATCACTGATTAGAGTGATACATAATGTTTCTTTCGAATGACCATAGATGTTTGCTCAAATTGTGCGCATGTTTGTAAAAGCCTATGGATAGTTTGGTTGCACTGAGCTGGGTCAGCCCTGTCCTTTTGATTATCGGGGGCGTGCTTTTACGGCAATCGTTGCCAACTGGCTAATCGGAGCACTGGATCTACGCACTAGTCTACTGAAGTTTTTAATGACTGCACATCGAAAATGAAATTGGCATATCTGCTAACGATAGTTGTGGGGTGTCGATAGGTGCTTCAGGGAGACGACCCTATTGTAGCCCAGTCAGCGTGTATTCACTTTTCACCATACCCACATGGAAGAGAATCGCATACTTTCTATACTATTCAATTATTTGGCCTATTAGTGCTTTCTACGTTATAAGGTTTACCCATAACTGAAATTTATATCGATAAGGCTAGTCTTCATTATTACAGAGACTTGTATAATGAAATCACCATACTATAACTGTGTCGACATTGGTACGGTACAGAGGCAAAAATAACTCGTCGTCGATGACAGAAGTATGCACTATGAGTTTGATGTTATATTGCAAGTCTATTTAGCGAATAATAATATTAGAATTGCTTATAGTACAGATAGATACTGCAAGCTAGTGTCATGATGCCAGCAGATGATTTGAACTGACTCAACAATTACTTTGTTCCGGCAATTCAAGGACTGGAAATGCTCAGCGTCGCATCAATAAAATGTTTCTGCTATTACACTGATTACCAGTACTTGAGGTATATTTAGCTTCACGATCAACATTCCCTTTGAATAAGCATCCAGAGCTCTCATTCCTAATGCAAGGCATTACCTACTTAGAACCCTTGCCGGAATGGATTGCCACCAGTCGGTGCCGGTGCTGGCGCTTGAGGTCTGAACGGGTTCGCCGCTTGAGGCTGCTGAGGAAGCACTCTTCCCTGAGGCCTCTGTTGCGACTGAGGCGCTTGTTGGAATTCTGTCTCCTGGTATCCGCTCTGCTGGTAGTAACTGTCTTGTTGTTGTTGGTATCCACCTGCAACCAATGAAGCAATTGTTATTTCATGAAATCCAAAGCTAAATAGTAATACTGATTGCACCACTCTATTGAAATGGAGACTTTTGGATTGAATTCTTTGAAAACGATATCTTGTATGACATCAACAGGAAAAAGAAAAAGTTAAGGGGGTAGCCAGATGAAGCTGCATGTTGCATGGATATTAACTTTGCAGTCGATGATGTTATGAGACATGAAAACTGGATGATGAACTATTAAGGTTCCTTCACACTGACGAGATACAGCGATAGCGTCAGCGTTAAAAAACGCACTTCACATCATCGCGAGATATTCTCAAACGTTTTTTGATTTCTTATACAATATGTCTTCTGATGAAGAAGAACTATTATTATTATTGGCCTTAGCAGAAGATTAAAGGCGAAAAGGGTAAGTATTTTGATGATAATCATTAGTTAATAATAATTAATAATTGTGTTTAAGGAAAAAGAAGAAATGGATACATGATATTAATAAATTAAGAAGGATACATGGAGAATATTATACTTCAATGTCCGAGTTACGTAGAGATCTGCAGCGTTCTTACCTATACCTTCGAATGACTCCCGATTGTTTTGATGAAATCTTAAATTTAATGTGATACCATCCTTATCTTTTTTCCTGCATTTTTTCTGGTCTTCGTGACTTAAATCGTACAATATTGGGTAATGCTCAACATGTTTAATTAATTTGTCCGTTATGGCGATATGGCGATATGCGATACGAACCACGTCAGCGTTTCTGAAATGAAACGCAGTCAAGGCGATAAACCGCGGGCCACCCCACCGCTCTGGTGTGATCGGTGTTATTTACCGCTCTGAAAACTGAACACGCATGAACAGCGGTGCGTTTATCGCCATCGCCTTACCGCCTCGGTGTGGGGGATCCTTTATGCTCCCTAGTAAATGGTGTAAGTATATTGGTTGGTCAACAGTCTGACTAACAACCACAATGATAACGATACAGTAGCGTTTCTAAAATGAAACGCTGTCAAGGCGATACACCGCGGGCCACCCTAGCGCGCTGGTGTGATCGGTGTTATTTACCACTCTTAAAACTGAACACGCATGAACAGCGGTGCCTTTATCGCTATCGCCTTACCGCGTCGGTGTGGTCGATCCCTTATACTCCCTAGTAGATGACGTCAGCAATCTGACCAACAACCACAATGATAACGATACAGCAGCGTTTCTAACACGAAACGCTGTCAAGGCGATAAACCGCGGGCCATCCTAGCGCGCTGGTGTGATCGGTGTTATTTACCACTCTTAAAACTGAACACGCATGAACAGCGGTGCCTTTATCGCTATCGCCTTACCGCGTCGGTGTGGTCGATCCCTTATACTCCCTAGTAAATGACGTCAGCAATCTGACCAACAACCACAATGATAACGATACAGCAGCGTTTCTAACACGAAACGCTGTCAAGGCGATAAGCCGCGGCCACCCTACCGCGCTGATGTGATCAGTGTTATTTACCGCTCTGAAAACTGAACACGCATGAACAGCGGTGCGTTTATCGCTATCGCCTTACCGCGTCGGTCTGGGGGAACCCTTATACTCCCTAGTAAATGATATAAGTATGCTGGTTGGTCAACAATCTGACGAACAACCCTAATTATAACGATAAAACAGCGTTTCTAAAATGAAACGCTGTCAACACGATAAACCGCAGCCACCCCACCGCGCTGGTGTGATCGGTATTATTTACCACTCTTAAAACTGAACATGCATGAACAGCGGTGCGTTTATCGCTATCGCCTTAACGGGTCGGTGTGGTCGATCCCTTATACTCCCTAGTAAATGACGTCATCCATCTGACCAACAACCACAATGATAACGATACAGCAGCGTTTCTAACACGAAACGCTGTCAAGGCGATAAACCGCGGCCACCCTACCGCGCTGATGTGATCGGTGTTATTTACCGCTCTGAAAACTGAACACGCATGAACAGCGGTGCGTTTATCGCTATCGCCTTACCGGGTCGGTCTGGGGGAACCCTTATACTCCCTAGTAAATGATGTAAGTATGCTGGTTGGTCAACAATCTGACGAACAACCATGATTTTAACGATGAAGCAGCGTTTCTAAAATGAAACGCTGTCAACACGATAAACCGCGGCCACCCTACCGCGCTGGTGTGATCGGTGTTATTTACCGTTCTGGAAACTGAACACGCATGAACAGCGGTGCGTTTATCGCTATCGCCTTACCGCGTAGGTGTGGGGAATCCCTTATACTCCCTAGTAAATGATGTAAGTATGTTGGTTGGAAAACAATCTGACGAACAACCATAATTGTAACGATAAAGCAGCGTTTCTAAAATGAAACGCAGTCAAGGCGATAAACCGCGGGCCACCCCACCGCGCTGGTGTGATCGGTATTATTTACCGCTCTGAAAACTAAACACGATAGGATAGCGGTGCGTTTATCGCCGTCGCCTTACCGCATCGCTGTGAGGGATCCCTTATACTCCCTAGTAAATGATGTAAGTATGTTGGTTCAACAATCTTACTAACAACCACAATTGTAACGATAAAGCAGCGTTTCTAAAATGAAACGCTGTCAAGACGATAAACCGCAGGCCACCCCACCGCGCTGGTGTGATCGGTATTATTTACCGCTCTGAAAACTAAACACGCATGGATAGCGGTGCGTTTATCGCCATCGCCTTACCGCGTCGGTGTGGGGGATCCTTTATACTCCCCAGTAAATGGTGGTAGATGTAATGGTCAACAATCTGATCAACAAATACAATGATAACGATGCAAAATTTCGTTCCACGCTATAGCAATGAATGTGGTTGCTCTTTGTAGCAATCTTTGTTTCTAGCTCTAGAGCCGGTTCAGGGTTCAAGAATCGTCTCTTGCTACGCATTTCTAGCATTTCATTACCATAAAGGGTATTATTATGGTGTGATTTTGCACAACGCACAGTTCTTGTGGAATAAGCAATTTTTCGCAGTATTTGTAATGCGTCCATACAAAAAAGTCTCCAGATAGCCGATATATTAGGTTTGCTAAAAAAAATCTGAGCTGTCAAATACAGCACTACCTCCAACAGGTGATTAGGCGAAACAATATGATATATCAGATGCCATGTAGGTCAATTAATTTATTTGTTTATGGATCGGAATTGCAAAATATCGACACACTCCTGTAGCAATAACGATTGATACAAACTGATGATACTAACAAACTTGTGTGCCTGAATTGAACGATGACAACTTCAAATAGATAATAAGTCGTTTCTTTCTTTTTGCTTTATTTTTACGCAGCTATTAAGCCGTATATTGGCCTTGTTATTTCATGCGTATTTGTTTCTAAACAGGAAATTCCAACTTTCAGAACATTTTGTGTGATATAAAGGCGCAGGGACCCACAGCAGACATCTGATCCCCTGCTATAACGTCATCTAGAAGTAGAGCAAGATCGAACAATATTTCAAGGCACATATTGTTTCGATCGCTACCTAACCATCAGTGCAGATATGTTTCCTAGGATCGTATTTATCCTGGCCACGATATATGCAGGACAAAATCGTTCCTTCCCATCCATCTGCAATTCTTCTCTTGTAAATTCGCGGTCAAAAGGACACTTGGAAATAATGGTATCAACTAGATGACAGCAATGTGATTGTCAGGATAATAAAGCACAACAAAGACGAAACGTGATTACCCACACCTCCCCCTTCATCAGAAGACTTGCAGTGTGGATGATGATAATGTACCCAGAGATCCGACATTTTGATGGAGATCGGCAATACGCAATTTGAAGGTACTCACCGGTGTTATTTCCCAACTGTGTCTCCTCTTGCTGCTGCTTGTACTCCAAATGGTTCTGAATATCACCCATCACAGGCTTCTGTTCCTGCATCGAATACGTCTGGTACTCCTTGTTAGGTGGATCTGCCATCAAGATGTTAGCCTCGTTCTCGAAGGGCTTGAAGTCGTAGATGTGCCGCAGATACATCAGCACTGGGGCGTAACCCAAGTTCATAAAGGCTATACCGACGTTGAGAGCCGTGAAGCCTATGGCTTCCACGACGCCTCCAGCGATGATGGGGCCCACGGCGTAAGCCACGGAGTACGATATGTCTGCGATGGCGTAGATGCTGCCGTAGACGGACACGTAGCGTACGTCCACCAGGTATCCCAAGGTGGGTAAAAGCGCCGTGTCGATGAGCGCGATTCCGAAGCAGATGCCGCAGATAGGGACCATCAGGAAGATGTACGAATTGGCGAAAGGGATGATGAAACAGCAGAGACCCTCCAGTGCCAAACCGCCTGCCGCCATGATCCATTGATACTGGGGGTACTTTTTGGCCATCTTTACGGTGATTATGACGCCGAAGACGTGGGGGAAAAACGCTGGCAGCCAGATGATGCCCACCTGAAAATAAAAAAGTTCTGTTATTCTGCATAGGTGAAAAATAAATTAATATACTGCCTAATAACGTCTTTCAATATGTAAAATGACCAAAGGGAAAGAAGGGCATTCGATTGTTTACATAATGGCCTATTGCTCAGCAAGCTGCATTATCCAGGTTTTACAGAGTGAAAGTGGGCAATGCTGTTTCAAATGAACGAATTTGTTTAAAAGGAATTCCGCAAAGTTCCAGCCTTGAACCCATTTTGTTTATACAGGGTGTCCGCAAAGTTGGGGTTTTCCTTTACACGACGTGTAGATCTTGAAACCATAAGCAATTTTTCTTAGTACCATATACACCAATGTCTCAAGGGAACCGAGATAAAGGGCTCTGCAACATCAAAAATATCTTAATACCGTCCTGTAGCCGCGACATCACGGAGTGGTACAATGTCACTGGCTCAACCCGACGACAGAACACGTCCAGCGTGTACAAGCCCTTCAACCTGACGATTTTCCAGCAAGAGTGCGGTTTTGTGAGTGGTTGTTGCATCAACATGACAATAATTCGGACTTTTTGAAGTGCATATTGGTGACAGACGAATCTACATTCACGCGTAATGGGGTGAATAACTTTCGCAACACTCATGTTTGGTCAGTGGAAAATCCGCACGCTGTCCATCGGGCACATTTTCGGTGAATGTTTGGGCTGGCATGGTGCGTCTGCTCGGTAGCGCATCAGCTGATTTCATTTTCTGTTGGAGCGGTATGATTTCGGGCAGAGACGTACTTAGCCCTTCTCGTCAACTGGAGAGTGAGTACTTTTTCCTTTATTTTTTTTAATTGGTCGCCCTCGTATCACTACGCATTACCTTTGTTATTTCAAGGGTAGCTGTTTCTGAAAAGGAAAACCTCAACTTTGCGGACACCCTGTATTTGTCAGACTTAGCTATACATTTTTATGCAGAAGATCCGCAACTGTATCTGTACCTGACCGGCACGGGTATTATGTATAAAAACCTATAAAACGTCAAAAAAAACCCATAAGATGTCATCTTGCAGACTAGGTAGTTTTTAGGGTGCAAACAGCCATTCCACGTTGTGAGCGCGATCCAAAGCGTCCATCTGTAGAGCAATGGCTCAACTACAGTACACGCATTGTTGGTTGCATATGTTTGGTGAAGCCGAGTGGTCTATAGTCTGAGTCTCTGAGAAGAAAGTTGGTTATTTGGCTGAATAGCAAGATCGCATCACGATGATTGTGTGTATTGGTCTGCATTCGTATAAAATGAGTGCTTTTTGCTGTGTGAGAAAATCATTACTAAATATGCTGTCAATGAAGTATATCTATTAGCTGTGCCCGACGGGTTATTTATATGTTGTCCTTTCGGAATATAGGCTATGTTCAAAGTTATCAATTTCTTCGATTTCTTACGTTATTTGTGTTGCCAAAAACTTTGAGGAGAATTACGGAAAATTACCACCGCGCCCGCGTTGTATGTAACTACAGTTAGCATGTATATGACTTGTAATTCGACAGTGTAAAGTGTAATTATTTCTTATCTCTCTCAGTTTTGAAATTCAGCAAATTTGCATATGTTATATCCAGAATGGATAAGAAATAGTGGATGCGCAACTAATTTCTAGCTTCGAATCTCAAGTAAATGTATTTGAGACCAGAATGCAATGGAATTATCATCAACACATATTATTAGCACACAAATCCTCACAATGCCGTTACCTCCAGTAATGCCATCTCCGAAGCAGATTTTACATCACATCATAGCGAAGCATTGATAACTGAAGATTCATGACGTTTAGGCAACACATACAACTACAAAACGAGCTTAGAAAAGTATCCATCAGCTAGTGCTAAGTTAAAATCTTGTCGAAAAATCTACATAATGTCAAAAAAAAATAGTATAATGTCAAAAAACATCGATATAACGTCACTTTTCAAGATACGTAATACCGGCTTCTCTCTTTGGTTTTTCCGACAGACATGATACAAATGTACGTAGCACTGGGGACAACGGATTCGATGAGAATGATATCATTAGTGGTTATTAACGTACTCTTGATTCCGCTTCGTTGTACATCTGGATCCAACAACATAGCCAGAAAGATCATGGAAGATCTGTCTTGTTCGGTGGAAAGGATCAAAGCACCAAAGAACTAAACAAGAAATTCTGCCTCGCCATACTCACAAGGGATGAACAGACGAGTGGAGAGGAGGCAGGATACAGTGGAGCAGAAATTATAAAGGTCTTGGAAAATCTCGTGAGAGTTAAGTTATTGAATGAGAATTTTGTGCTACAATGACAAAAATCAACGGTCTAACTTGCCTGCCCTGAAATCTAGTCATACGTGAGAAATTCCGCGATATGGTATATTTTAACTGATTTGCGTTAATCGTGTGAACGGTTACAGTCTTCCATGCAAATACCTTACTATTCTTGAGCTTAGCCAGCCGATCTCTCCTCTCACTACCCACTATATTCGTGGTCACTTTTTTAGAATCAGCTGAGAGCTGGAGAGCAACTATGCATTTCTGGACTATAGTTGATTTCACCGTCGGCAACACCGCCGGTAGGGATCAGAAAAGTATCGGTTAGTACTCCTCAGAACAATTAGGAATATTGTGAATTGAGAAAGGTATGGAAAGACATGACCGAAAACATAAATGATTGAAAATATAATAATTATCAATCGGCGTGGCAGTACGTGCATGGAAGATATTTTTCAATAGACAAGCCAGAATTCACATGTGCTCACCTTCCAGTTTTCTTTGGTGATATTGTCCTCCATCCACAACGTAATGGTGGGTTCTAGAAAGGCGAGCGCGACGTTGGACATCATGAGCGCGCCCGCGCAGACGGCGATGTACTTGTCCATGAATAGCTTCCAGATGGGCACCGAAGGCGGCCTGGCCATCTGCGATTCCTTCATTTGCTCCTTGATGGGCTTCATCACCAGCAACAGCATGAAGCCATCCATCAACGAGATGAAGGCCAGGATGAGGAACGGCATCTCCTTGCCGGCGAACTGGTAGAGCGCGCCGCCGAAAGGTGGCGCCACTAGGCAACCGAAGCTGATGAAGGCTAAGGCGATGCCCAGGGCTTTCGAACGCTCGTTTTCCTCCGTAAAGCTGTAACAATGGAAACATGGGTTTTACAAAATTTGTGTAGAATATAGACTAACATAATTAGATTATTATTTATTTTACTACTGATTATTTATTACTTATTTAATATTATTTTAACCCAACTCATTACTAGTAATTTTCAAAAAGGCTTCTCGTATACTACCCCAACATAGTCTGCATGTGACTATTTTTTGATAACTTCGAAGAATTTGAAGTGAGAAGCTTTTTGTCCAAATGAAATCACATAAGGAGAAATTACTCTTTACTGACGTGTCGGTCACCTTGATGGACTTTTTTCTCGTGCTGGCCGAAACGTGAATAGCAACGTCCACATACAGGATAAGTTTGAGATGTAACATTAAATTTGGAGCTGTTATGGATTTTTTACCTTTTTCTTCATTTTTATTTAAAAGTAAGCAAATCAGGTACGGGGTATAAATACATGACTCAAAATGAGTGCAAGAAGCAATATTTGTACGGATAATTACTGAGTAACGTAAAAGTAGAAAAGCGTTAAATAATTCTCTGTTTGAAAGCTTATTCATACTTTAAAAAATATGCGGAATCTAGTAATCGGCCAAAGATGATAATCCGCATTTAACGGTTCTTTCAAAAATTACAGCAGAAATTGTTTGACGAGATTAGTATCCAATTCATAGATAGGTATGGAAAGGCACATGATCCTAGATGACGCCACTAAAACCTCCGACATTCTTGGATTAATTTATTGGATGGCAGTGTAATTTCAAAGATTTCTTGTTAATTCTTGTAATGTGTCGAATGAATCACAAATACCCTGATTCCTGATATGTTGGAACCTTTAACAGCCTCACTGCTGAGTATGTGAAAATGTTGAGGGAGTTCTTGGCACCGATGCTACTGGGATTTGCTGGCTATAATCGTAACACATGGCTTCAACAAGATGGAGTCACGTGTCAAACATCCAACGAGTCCCTGTCGGTGGTCAAAGAAATGTTTCCGGAAAAGCTCATTTCCAGACGAGGCGACATCCCGTAGCCACCCAGAACTCCAGATCTATTCCCACCAGGCTTTTTCTATGGGGTTATTTAAAGAAAATAAACCAAGTACACTCCGTCAACTAAAAGGAAACATCAACGAAGAGATGTCGGCGATCTCGCAGTCTTTATGCCGACGAGTATTCGAAAATTTCGGTACACGTTTAGAAGTGTGCAAAAATCTTAACGGTGGTCATTTAGATGATATAATTTTCAAGAAATGAATTAAAACTAATTAGCTTTCTTGTGAATAAGCAATTTTTAAAATATGTCAAATGTTTTTTTTTTCACACGATTTTTTCAAATGTCAACTAATTCATGGCCCAATCCTGTATAAAGATAACATTGCACTTGAAGTTTTTTATCCGGGAATGAAACAGTTTTTATTGGATGACATTGTAATTTCGAAGATATTTTGTTAATTCATTTAGATGTGCCGGTCATTTGTAATATTGCTCTCCTGAGCTAAGCCAGAATTTCTAAACAAAAACCCTCAAGAAGTTCTAACGGCTGTTGCTGAGGTATCTATAAAGATAACATCGCTCCAATGTTTGTGGGTGCGGTGAATTTTGCAACATGCTTCCCGTCGTTGCCGACGATGCGAGGTAGTACAAGATGGGGACGGTATTTGGCGATAAACTGTCCTCATTGCTATTGCCATTTCGACAGCATTAAACCACTGGCTCGCAAGTGCCCTTGCTGTGGAAAATCGATCTCTAAGTGCTAGTTGCCCCACATAACGATCCTGTCGCTCTGTAGTCTGTCTTTGTTGTCCAATACTAATTTGCCGATTTCAACCTTCTTGGAACCACGCTCGACAACATCTCATTATAGTAGCTTCGTTTCAAATCACCCGATTGGCGATTTTTCTAAAAGAAGATCCGGCTTCACATAATTCGATTATCTGACCCCTCTCAAACCCAGAAAGTTGGGTGAAATTGGCGTGACTGCGAACTATATACATGATAATGCAATGAAACAAATGGAACCAACACAGAAAAATCACTGAATATTAAGTAAACATGTTCATATTGTTCGGATCCTGATATGACAAAAAAACCCTTTACAAAAAAGTACGGCTCGGAATGCCTTCAACATTTTATCAGGGTATCCTTCCGTGATAGCAAATATGTTTACAAGTTTTTGCCAAAATTCAAGAAATAATTCTGGGTGTTGCGTTTTATATGCCACTTTGTATATATATGTAGTCAACGCCAAACAAAGTGGCGTGCACGTCATCACGATAAAAATTCCCCGACCTAATGCCTAGGTTTCTATCACAAACAATTGCTCTATTGCAGTTTCATATTAATGTGATATATAAATTGTAAAATGATCATTACTCTCTTATTATGGTTAATAGTCATATAAACATTGTTATTAAAATATCACATAAGTTGCTTTCTGATAAATTTAGACGCATTATGCGAAATAAAATGTTTTGCAAACGCTCCAATCACTTATCGACATGTAAACGCACTAAACCGATTTCGCAGCGTTGACACATTGCCACCTTGAAACTTATTTAAACTGGGAACTGACATTTGTATTAATTTTGACACTGAATCAATTTGTGGCATTTCAAATCTTTATAAATCCTTTGGCCCCGCATACTGTAAATCAACAACTGTTTGTTTCAAAACAAAATTATTCATTTTACGAGTAGATAAAGGCAATTTTGGTATATAAAGATGCCCAAACAGTTAAATAGTCGGTGTAAGGAACTCGTGGCCTCGTTAATGCACTACTTTGAGCAAGAAAGGGACAACAACGGGCCTTTGTTGCCTTTAAATGCTGTTCAAGAGGTAGGTTACTAATAATTATATGTAATGTATATTAATAATAGTGAAATTTTATTTCATTTTTTGTAGCGTGTTGCTGCTGCTTTAAAAATTAGTTTAAGGACAGTTAGTCGTATTTCCGAGGGTGTGAAAAGTGATGCAAATTTAGAATCGCCCAAGAAAAAGCGGAGTTATATTAAACGTGTAACCAACACAGCGACATTGGATACAAGTGCCATTCGAGAAGTGATCTATAATATGTATCACAAAAGTAAGATCTTATTATAATAACTTATCAGAAATTTGCATTAATTTGTTAACTAAATTATAATGTCATATTACACATGGTTTCAGAAGAACAAGTTACGATACAAACTTTATGGTCTCGATTAAGAGATAGGGCATTATTTGATGGTAGTGCCACGTCTTTAAGGCGGTTGCTTAGAGATCTTGGATTTAAGTGGCTTAAGGACAATCCGCGACGAGGGCTCATGGAACTACCAAGTATAGCTTTGAAAAGGGTGGAATTTCTAAGGCAATACAATCAAGCCAAGGTTGAGGCCTTATACCAGTTTGTCTTCCTCGATGAAACTTGGATATTTCAAAATGGGACCATAGGTCGCTCTTGGCAAAATGGAAACCAAAAAAGCGTGAAAGCTATTAAAACAGATGGTAAAAGGTATGTACTTTTACACAATTTGCACTATAAAATTTAAAACTAATATATTTTAGATACATTATATTACATGCTGGAAATGAAAATGGGTTTATTGAGGGTAGTGAAGCGATATTTTCTTCGAAAACAAAATTGAGCGATTACCATGGAGAGATGAACCAGGAAAATTTATGGAAATGGTTTCAACATCAGTTATTAGAAAAATTGGAGAGTCCATCTATGATTATACTGGATAACGCCCCTTATCACAGCATGATATTGAACAAAGTGCCCAACAATGCATGGACAAAAAAAATATCCAAGACTGGTTGACAAATCAAAACATACCATTTTTAAACACAATGTTTAAAACAGAGCTATTGAGTATTGTTGCTCGGTACATAATGCTTCTTAATTATATATATTTTGGTCGACAGTTTATATTTCTTTTGTTTATTCCTATTCTTAAAATAACTGCTTTTTTAGAAACAAACCACCTAAAATATACGTGATTGATGAATTGGCGGAACAACATGGGCACAAAGTTCTTCGTCTGCCTCCTTACCATTGTATATTTAACCCTATTGAGTTAATTTGGGGCATATCAAAAGGTTACTATAACAGACATATTGGTAGAGATGGTAACAGTGAAAAAGACTGTTTGGATATGTGGAACGAGGCTCTACAAACGGTTACCCCAGACATGTGGAAAAATAGTGTTCGACATACTGAGCAAGAAATTTTTAAATGGTATGAAAGAGAACGAATTTTTGATCGACCAGACATCGAACCTTTAATAATCAACTTTGAGAGTGATGAAGATTCAGATTCAGACAGCGCTGAAGAAAGAAACTCCGACTAACTTTATTGTACAGAAAAAGCTTACACCAGTAGCTTACCTAATTTTAGTATGCATTTTTCTGTATGAATTCTGTAAAATAAATACCATGCATAAAATTTGGAGGACCCCATTTGGATTTTTATTCAGTACCTTTAAGCTATCAATTAAATATGGTAGTTTCATAGTGTCATCTGATCAATAATTGTCATACTTAATGATTATGCAAGTACAGCTCTATAATTTTATTATACTATTATTTTTGTTCTCATTTGAGGTTAATATTGCTTATAAACCTAGATATGTAAATAATAAATTTTATTATTTTACAAAAAGTTTGGCAACAATGTAAATTTTTCAACACACCCACCTTGATGACGTGCACGCCACTTTGTTTGGCGTTGACTATATGTTCATAGTCTGTGTATTCCGTTAATGGCCTACAATTTTTTCTTTGTACAAGTATAGGAAGCTGTTGAGAGTATTCCGGCAGGTGAATTGTTAACAAAATTAACCTTTAACATCATAGATAAATCATAAAGTGGCATGTTGTGATAAACCGAAGATTATAGATGGTTGAAGGAACTACTACCAACTATCTATTATAAAAAAATACATTAGATAACAATGTATATTTTGGGAGAGTTGGAAAGTATCGGTTGTTATTATAGGAAGCACTGAAGGATGACACAGCTACAAAAATTATTGCGGCCCGGAAAATAAAAGGGGAATGACGTCACTACAGCTTATTTATATTTAAATATGTGTGAATAGAATTTTTATTTGAAGTGCAAAATATTCACTTTTGTCTCTTTCATGCTCTATTACTTTGAATGTGACTACTTACTAGTCAGTAGCAGGGCGGTAGCGAATGTAGATATTGAGTTTATAATGTGAATATCTATATGAAAAGATTCCCCTTACAGGGATATAAAAGTAACATATTACCATATTTTTGAGGTTTCCGAAGTAGTACCATACTTCTTTAGAGGTTTGTACCTACTTTGCTTTTGTCTTTCACTGCACACTATCATAAGCCGACGGGGAAGAGACATTATGAAGACCATAGGCATGAGGGCGAACAACGGTTTAAAGAGAGTCATAATATCAGAGAAATGACCAGAGGAAGCAGTCCTGAAGGAGGCAAGAATATCGCTATGAAACTGCCGAGGGGTCTGTGGAAAGAACTGGGGAATGAAGCCTAAACAAATGTTTTGGCTTTATACCATGGTTATTAGACCTATGATAACCAATGGATCTATAGCTTGGTGGGGCAAGACAGCACAAAGAACTGTCCAAGCCAAAGTGAGCCCCATACAAAGAGAAGCATGTATGTTGATCACTAGTGCCTAACGAACCACACCAACTGCAGTCATGGAGGTCCTTGCACATATACCTGGAAGGCGAGGCAAGAAGGACATCTTATAGACTACATCATGTGGCAAATGGTGTAAGGGACAATATCACTATCATGCTGGTAAACTTACAAAACCACCACAGTCTGGGAATGCCTTCAGATATAATATAAAAGATAAGAGGATATGTGACAATCCCATACAGGGATGAGTGGGAACAGCAAGTTAACCTGATAAGAAAAGATATCTGTGCATACACAGATGGCTCCAAGACCGAGGTAGGTGTTGGAGCAGGTATATTCGTGGCGAAGCTAAAGAATAAAAAATCTATTGGCATAGGAATGTGGGCATCGATCTTCCAGGCAGAGCTATATGCTATATAATTGGGTGCCAGAATGATCGCAAAATGTCTGAGACACAGAACTATAATTATATTACAGATAGTCAAGCCACACTTAAATCACTTGACTCCACCTACGCGACATCGAGATTAGTGTGGAATTGCAAAGAAGTTCTCGGTGGCATGAGGGAGGGAAATGAAGTACGACTCATATGGATACCAGGACACAGAGGTCTAGAGGTGAAACGAGACAGCTGACATTCTGGCAAAGAGTGAGGCTAGCACACCCTTCATATGGCCTGAGCCAGCGATTTTGATTGCATACAATACGGCTAAACAAATAGTCTCTGCAGAGATGGACAGAAAGATGCATCAATACTGGGAGGCATCACTCGTAGCAGGGTTAACCATGTAACCAAGCATGTAAGGCAACTATACCAATATTGACAAAGAAGGCTACGGCTGAACAGGAATAGCCACAAAGCTCTAGTAGTTAATTGCAAATTGCGTCACCACATGATCAGTCTAGGCATGCTGAGTGCAGACTATGCATGCAGGGAGAAGAAACGGTCAGGGATGTATTGCGCAGATGCGCAGGTACAACATACTTGGAGACGTAGTACTCCAAGCAGAAGACCTGAAGGATATTTATCCAAAAAGCTGATCGTCTTCCTCCGCAGGTCGGAGCTACTGGGGGAAATACAAATAGGTGTGACCCACAATAGACCAAACAGTTGCAGTGGAGGATCGTTATTGATGCACTCACAAGAAACCTAATCTAACCTAACCTACGTTAAGCTTGCGTTAAGCAAATGTTATACTAAGACAGTTGCGAAGGAAGAAATCTTATAATGAGGTACTGCGGCAACTATAGAGATGAATAAGGTTAGTAGAACCTCAAAAATCTTTCACGGGCAGATTGTTCCACTTCCCTGAAACAAAACTGCATTTGGCCGGCTGTGGTGCAGCTCCCCCACGTACAAAATTTGTGCTATAATGGAAACAGAAGCCTGGCAGGATCCTTTGGAGTCTGACGTGAGGCGCTGAGAGGAGTAAAATCCGCTAGCATACCGGTGAGAGAGGACCTTGAGATAGTCCGTTAGAGAAATGTCATCGATCAATCGGACACCCCTTCTTCTAACAGTATCAAGTATTTCCGAGTGGCAGCATATTAGTCATGTGAAAAGTACTTCATATAGGGTCCTATCTGGACCTTGAACAAAGTGAGTCCTAAACAGATATCGTAGCGCCTTTCCTGCACCTGCCATTACAGCTGATAGGACGTGTTCCTGCCGAATCATGATCTCGGTGATTTGAACATCAATATATAGACTAAATCGCTCCTTGACTCTGCTGTTTTTCGGATCTGGAAGCGCTCTTCCGCGACTTTTGTTACCAAAGTTATTGTGATGTCCTGGACGGAGCGATAACATATTGTTACATCTCTAGACAGATATACCTATATAACTCTTACGCCAAAAAGCAGCCTTCTTGTCATCTGAAAAGCTTTGGTACGAACTTGCTATGCGAGGGAATTAATGTATAAATGAAACAGAAAACAGCGGAATCTCCCAAGATCCAAAATTGCACAAAGTCATAGCTTCATGGTGATATTGAAGATCTCAGCTGCTTTTGTGGAAATTCTTAACCTATCTCGTAGCTATAATCAAAGCCCCAGTACCACCTTCCTTTCTTCTACCCTTCTTTCTCCCTGACTTTGTCTGGTATCTGGTAAACCAGATCTGACAGACCTACTGACTCACAATACAAAGGTCCTATGGACCGGCCTGTGAGACAATGACGAATAAAAGAAGAGATATCATCAAAGCGCGTTGAATCAATTTCCTTTTCTTGGATATACACCATAAACACGATTAATGAATATCAATATCTTACCGATCTGCTATCATAGCCAGCCCTGAGGTGTCCGCGAAGGCCGATCCGACTCCTTGCAGACTCCTGGCGAAGAAAAGCAGTCCGTAGGAGCGGCCGCAGGCGAACACCGCGGTGGAGAGGAACATGATCGTCAGGCCGATCATCATCGGGATGTCGTAACCTATGCGATCGATCAGCGCTCCCGAGAACGGGTTGATCATCAGTTGGACGATGGCCTTGGACGCGAAGAGGATGCCGGTAGCCGAGTCCTGCCCATGGTGGTCGTGAATCACCGGGGTACCTGAAAAACATGACCATGATGAAACCTATATGCTGCATATTGATCTTAACATAAGGCTTCCACCAACATTGCACTTTCTTGTAAAGATTGCCGACGTCAACAGTTCAAGGATAATGTGCTCATAGGAAGGAACCTTAGAAATCACGACGGTTTTTCTGTATGCATGGACTAGGTTAGCTATTAGACATGATACTATCACATGAGAAGATATGCACACTTCGCTATCAAATTTCCCCTTTACGCATTCGACGCTTTCTTTGACATATTTGCTTAACATTCTTTACATGATAATTTTAGTTTTATATAGAATGTTTTATTCATATTTTGACGTTTTTCAAATACAATTTGATGAAGTATATCACTATAGACAGAATGCACTGCCGTTATAAAATTATCACTTTTGAAAAATTCACAATAGACAAGTTGACAGGTTCTAAATAACTTAAGCCTTATTAATTGAAAATGCGCTTGAGACCTACATGAAGTAAATTGGTTTCAAATAATACATGTGTGCATCAGTGACATATTAATTTGTTATATTAACTTTTTATACAGAAAAAGGATGAAGAACAGGATACAGTTTATATATGACATCTTAATAATTTTGTATAAAACGTTATGTGTAACTGGTTTTTTAGTCTTTTTTAGGATAGGTATTCATAAATGTATTTTGTATTGGTGAACAGATTCATTGAGTTTATTTTGCAATTTTCCTTATTTTTCTCTCTCCAATTCTGGATTTTTCTCTTATATATCTATTTAAAATCCAGATTTTAAAATACATTTTAGATCTAAGAATAAGATGCTTGGCATATCATCAAATGAAGGCATCACTTGCCAACTTCCATTTATTTTGAGCTAATCCCTTTAAAATATCAGTCACAAAATGCTTGAAACACATCACTGCGGTCTGTACATTAAGTTTGTGTTGCTGATAATACTTTAGAACCCATTGTTTGCAAATTTGTTTGTTCTGTGCAAGATTGAAGAAACGCCAATTTGAAACGTTTTTGCTTTTCTTGTGGTTGTTGCTGGAACAACCCCTCACTGCACAGTACATCAATATTAAATATTTAAGTCACTGTTTTTTAATTTTATTCGACAGTGAGACTTATTTGAAATACATCAGATAACAAACCGAGTGATGCTGTGCGTGCATGAGAGTTAAGCTGATCGCATGATCGTGGGTTTATCTTCTTGAGTAATAGTATCATGGCTACTAGTAGCGTTGAGTGCTCGTAAGAAGAAGAAGTTTCAATTCCGATTTCAACCAGCCCATCGAGGTGTATTTTTTCTGTTAAATTATCAAGATATTATATATACATATATAAAGAAGAGAAAGTAAGCCTGATTTTCCTTTCATATCTCTCATAGCTCACAAGTAATAAGCAATTGCATTTTTATGAGTACTTTATGGAGCATAAAATCACAACTTTTCATAATGGCCGACTGGCAGGCTGTTATAGTTTAGCATTTTTGTACATTATATCGCTTATAACTGAGTAGCTAATCATCAAAACGCTATATTATAAATAAATCTCCTCGTTGGACGATCTAGCCTCGACTTTACTTGGGTATGTGGTAAGATAAGGAAGATTTTGTTTAAAAAATTGACATAATCTGCTATTTTCTTCAAACTGAACGTTTCTTATTTTATTGCACATTCAGAAAGACCCCTCTAAAATTAAAAAAAAAAGATATAATATAACGCTTTGAGGACTGGTTATGGAGTTATAGGCGATTCAATACACAAAAACCTTCAACTTTGACAGTGTGGGTGCCTGAGTAATTTTATACTCTAGGGGTAAAAAGCACTCATAAGCAGCCTCAAAATGAGATACCTCATGACTCCTCGTTCCATTTGAAAAAATGCTCCAAAACTGCGCCCAGTCGCCATTTTGAAATCTCTTGAGCCCTGTTCTATGTCTAAAGGGTATATTGTATTATTCATTTGCAATCGTGAATATGAGATCTAACTAATTTATTTCGGCAAAGTTTTTTTTTTGTAAAAAAGGTGCAGGTTGCCTTAAGTTACTTTATTCATTAAATTCACTTAGCTGACAGATCTGAGTGTACTAGAAAACATATAATGCTCCGAATTCCGCAATTGGTGGTGGCAGCAGGTGGAGTTGGAAAGCCAAATCAGTCGACTTACGCGTATAGAAAATTTACACTGCTGCCACTTTACACGACTTAAATATCTTGAATTGCCTGCTTTTCTCTAACAAAACTAATTTATTTAGGATGGATGAAAACATCAGGGGATAATAAAAAAAAAATTGGAGGGGTTTCTGCGAGTGAGGGACCTCAGTGATTGAAAATTGATGAGCAGGGAGGGGGCAGCGGTGGCTACATCGGTGCTTCTGAAAGCGGGGTGTGCTGCCGATTGAAGAGCAGGGGGTGGTGTGCTTATAACTGCTACTGCCTTTGTGGCAACTGAAGAGTGAAGAGGGGGTGTACAGAAAGTATAAGTTTCCAGCGTATTTTTATTTTTACAGTGATTTTTTGAATGGGAACTCTCCCTTAGTATTCGCCTCGTAGATCCGCCACTGAGAGCATGTGGGCAGTATTTCGGATTCATGCAAAACAAATTGTTATGTTAGTGGTTCCTATAACAGTCTCCTTGCGTTTCCTATCATGGAAATACCCGCAGGTTATTGGGAGAAATTATTTCCGTCTTTCTCTGAAAAGCTTTTTGATCATACTTCATATTCCAATGATTTATCAACACGATAACTGCTACTCAATACAAAATAATACCCTCAAAATAGATTTGGATTGTTCCTATCGACAAGACCGGGTTTTTTACCTGTATATAAGCGGTTAAGATGTCTAAAACTGTTTATGTTGAGACATTTAGACATTTAGACAAAATATCTTATAGAATGCTCACGATAGTATAGGAATTTTAAACAGTATTGTTTTTCTCAAAATGTAAACCATGTTACAGACCAAACGGTGGTCGCCTAAGACCTCAAAAAATGGCAACAATGAGTTATACCACTATGTTAAAGATCATCCAAGTATCTGAACAGTGTCGTTCAAAAGAAAGTTCCTCAGCGGGTTATAACGCTAAGACTGTATTCTACATGAGTTCGGAATCCCCTGCCATGCCAACGTATATTAGGGATTATAGAATTTGCGAGTTCTTACCTGGTGGATAGCTGGCGTTTACCACCGGTTCGGGAAAATCCTCGTAGGCCCCGATGTATCTGAGGTAGTCGGGTATGATCGGCACTATGACCATGTACAGCATGTTGTCCAGCAGCAGCGCTATGGAGACGATTACCAGCACTAGTTTGCGCTGAGTGCGCGGCTCCTGCACCTTGGTCCAGATGACCTCTTTTAGCTCCCCCAGCTCCATGTTGATGATGGGGATGTGCGTGGACGCCATCTTCGTGGAAGGTCCGTGCTCCAGGTGGTCAGTAGTGGTCCCGGGGTTCAGCGGGCGTGTGGTGGAAGGGGGAAGCGCAGTGCCATCCGGTTCGGTTTAACCTGCACAACAAAGCAGTCCAGTTATTGGTGAATTTCATTCGTGATTGGGTGGGGAGGCACTGCGCTTACACCCCCCGCACCCCCTAACTATACTAGACTCAGCTAAAGCGCAGCGGTAAGGGAACAAGGTACATAAGCCGGTATTTCATACAAAATATACACATGGTGTGTTTTTTTAGTGAAAATAATCCAAACCCGTCTGTTGTTGTGTAAAGTTTAGATTGTTTCAAAACGTTTTTGCCTTGTTTCAAAAATTACTTTTGAATGCAAATCATCAACATTAGATACACGAATGAGCTTAACAGTCTTCCACAATTTACGCCAGAGCTGCTTTCCTGTGACCCATTTGAGTTATTCGGAGTCACTCGCAGTAACTCAGAGCTTGACTGTTTTCAGTATTGTGTCTACAGTACACACGGGCGTTAAATTGTCGCGCTGCAAATAAACGCGCGTTTAGCATTACCTGGATGTAGATTGTGTGTATCGCTTGCCAGAACATTAATGGATATACGGGCGTTAAATTGATGTGCGGCATAATAACCCGCATTGCAGCATTACATAATGTTATACTGATAAATGCAAGATGGTCTCAGATGAAAACGTTCAACGCAAGTCACATTAAGGAGTATCTTGTGTGCACAGCTCACGTAAGTTCAAAATCATACGCATAGGTTTATATTACGATCTTTTATCTAAGAATAAGGGTTGGCGTAAACACAAATTTCTGTTTCCGTAATTTTGTTAAATACTCCGTGTAGAAGAAAATCGTATACTATTTGTGTAGTTAGTTCACTTCGCTGTTTTGAAACCCAAATTGTTATATTACTAAAATTTTATATTATTCTTATTACGACGCTTCAATTTCTGTAATGTAAGGTAAGCATAATCAAGGAAGATTTATGCTCCGCTCGTACTTATCCAATGACTGGAACCTCATATTATTATTGATAAAATACTTGAATGCTTCCCAATTTAAATTCATAATTTGTATATGCGCATAAAACAAGTGTTTAAGTGTTTTGTCATAATAGGTCGGTACTGTGTACCGTTTGGTTATCTTTTTCTCAACATGGTGGTGTTCGTACTTTTCATTATTGATTTGAAATTTTCTATATCCCTAAGAAGATTTGTCCGATTTTTTGTATGAAATGAAAATGTCCTCAACCATATTGCATTTCTATTTAAAATGTTGAGGATTATAATTCAAAATATATAGTCAACTATGAAATCTGCCTCCTTGTTCCCCCAATCGCTTATGATGTCTCACGCTACAATTTAATGGTGCCTTTGTATTACTAAAATATAACAGATTTGCTTTTTATAGGGTAAAAATTGTCATGTTCACAAATAACCTTGGATTCTCTAGAAATTACCTAATTGTCATAATTCTGAGTACACCAACATAGACACTGTACTGATACTGCATCCAAGATGGTATAATGGATATATTCTGGCATACATGTATATTCTCGTCAGAAATTCGTTGCCAGAATCTTTTCTAGATGCAAGTTCTGAGGACTTAGTGCGTTTAGTTGTTTCTCATATGCTGCTTCAATAACTGATGGTAAAGGTGATATAACATTGGTTTTGGTATTGCTATTGAGATCCACCTTGACTTTCGTATCCAATTTGTCGATAATTTATCGTCATAAAATAGAGCTATGTCTCGGATGTAACGACAGCTTCGATATTCATTGGGAAACTATCTCAAGGCCGTCTGTCACAATACGAAATTTTATACATGGTACTGTATTGAACTATTAACATACGTCACTGATTGGAAAAAGAATGTATAGGTAGCTGAGATAATGTTTGGCAAGACACTGAGGTGCTGTTTCGTTATTTTCTGAATGAGATTTTGTCGCTGGACCTGCCTTGTTTACCGTAAACGTATACATTTCAAAAATAAGTTTAGGATCATGTAGTTTCCTATTTTTAGTTGAGTCTTGACACAAACTGGAAATGGTTATTTCAGTCGCATCGTCTACACTGCATGTTGTTAAGTCAATTTAATGGTTAATACTTCCATGTAAAAGGTCTTCTTTTTAGAAAAAAATATTATGTCTTCCGACTGCACCCGTTTCTTTCGAATTCCACAAAAACCACAGCCAAAAGTCCATTAGCGATGGAAACTCTTTCCATCAAACATTCTAACCGCTTCAATATCCTTTTTATAATTACTGGATCTAAGAAATAGTAACATCGTTAAAGGAGTGCATAAAATGATTTCGTGCTAGTGACATGTGTATGTTTCGATCACATAACACACGGAATGGCTAGAATATACAAACCTTGTCGTGTAAGAATATTATGTATGTTAAATGCGGCAAGGGCAACCATAACATCGATCGCATCCATGTTGAACTCCTGCTAGAAAGGTGGTGGCCATTTTGAATTATGCAAAGAAATATCAGGCGTCGAGGCCTACGTCATTCCAGCACAGGTAGCTAAACATAGAGAATCAATATACCGTGGGAACTGGCTACGGCGCAAAGCCCGTTTTCATTTTTATACAAACGAGGTAGGCTAAAATCGATCTTCTTATCCCTTTATAAACTTTTTTCATGTAAATATTGATGCAGGAAAGGTTGTTGGAGTGTAACTGGGTCAGCTTTGTGAATATTTTCACATTTTGTTTCCAGTCTGTAATGAGTAATGAAAAGCTACTTTCAGGTTTCCAAGCGCAGTTGTTTTTCATTCACACTTAAAGTTGGCATGCATTGGTTTGATTTCAGCTATATTTATTTTTGTCTTAAAGACCAAATACTTATTATAAGCGTTAAAAGCTCAGTTGAGTTACATATGATGTTTCCTAAATATACAACAGTCGAAAGGAAATTCCAAGCATACTTTTTGAAGGCAACCGAGATTTTTGATTTGGTTAATAAAAATCTCATCTAGGAGCCTGCATCGAGGCCCCTCCAAATGCTCAAAAATCAAATGAAATAAATATGTCTGAGTATACCCCCTGCTTTTCAGTTTTCCCAACAGTAAAGTAAAACCTCGGATTTTTCTCTACCCTAGCGCCCATTGAGCTGCCGGTCCCAATCTCCTGTGTACCTCTACATTGGTTAAGACGGGCATGTGAGTTGTTAACCATAACTGTCCCCACGTTACATGCAAGATACAATTTTTACATCCGATCACTACCGGGATTATTGGAAAATACGAAACCTTTGACGTCTGCTAAAGAACATGCGGGCGACTTCAGGAAGATGAACCCACATCCCAATATAGCTTTCAATTTTGAAGACATCAAGGTTGCTCTTGTCAAGATTTTCCTCGTCTTTGAAACCCGAGGCAAAGCAGCTTTTTGAAAATGACCAGGTATTGACAAACAAGAATTTTTACATGTATATCATCGCTAAAGTATTTGGTATTTATTATTTCTAAGCACTAACATGTTGAGGTTGTGGTGTTTATCGAATAAATTGATTAGGCCTGAACAATGAATTCATTTGGTGGGGCAACTATAAGTGACTTCAAGTTTGTTGTTATAATATTCATGAAAATATGTTATATTACCAACACGTTCCTACAAATTTTGGATACAGAAACTAGAGACTCAAATATTGAAGAAAATTCATAATAATACGTTCTGTTAGTCTTATCAATCAATTCCCAGAGAAATTAAATTGATTCTAAGAACTAGGATACACCTATAACAACCAATGACATTATGTAATTTTTAAGATTGCTAATAATATAAAGCATTTTTAATATATATCTTTAATAATATTTTTTATATCAGAAGTCTGCTTGTTTGATAACTACTATACAGGTTGTTTCAAATTCAATCCTCACCATTGGGAACTTAAATGGGGGCAAAAAGGCGTATTTAGGTAATTAATAAAATGCCGCATGGACAAGTGCAAGATTCAAAGTACTCCCGAAGAAAGACAGAAGAATCCGAAACGTTTTAATTTTTTCCTGACTTTATTTGTAGTGGGGTTTCAAAATGAATTGCACATTAACATTATCACATGATTATCATGATGTTTCGTCTCTTGTTCACCAGCATGAATTAATTTTTTCTAATCAACGCCAAAGTGGATTTTTGCACAGGTTAACAGAGTATTTAATTGAAATTCTGAAAAAATTATAATACGCCATACATTGACATTGCCGAACGTTGGAAGAAGCAGAATTTCCTAGGTAGGTCTTGAAATCATCGGATAGTCATTTGTTTTGCATACCAGATTTATCCCAAAATCACTTTATTTTTCTCTGTCCTTATTTGAGATGGGATTTCAAAATGTATTGCATACTTCATCCTTACCTATTCTTCTCTACAAGATGGCGTAGTCAAATGTTCAATTCGATATTTTTTCTTTTGACATCCATCACCAACTTTGCTTTTTCTTATGGACGCCATATTAGAGTTTTGTACATTTAAATGGACATTCCTAAATTCAGTGATGGATTTCCTTAGTTGGTCATGAATTTGTTGTTGGATAAAAATCCTGCGTGTTTTGCACCAAACAGAAACTATTTTAAACAAACGCAATAAACTTGAATATTCTGATCTTGTAACGGAAATGTTACTTTCGAGCAACATGAGCTAATTTGAATAAGTTTTTTCAGCTCTTCACACTTAGAAAGGGCATATTTACTTGACATAGATGACTCCCAAATTTATTTATTTGAAATCTCAATCTTTGCCTGATAACGGGTTAAAACTACTTCTCAAACACTCAAATCACCTTTGATTAGTGATACGAGGGATGTCTTTTAAGTTTTGGATATAGAAACATAGTAGACCGCGCGGATCGAACACTACCGTGAATTTTTATGGATCACCAAGTCATTAGAAAAATGGAACTCAACCGAGAACATTTTCGCGCCATAATTTATTACAACTTTCAGAGACAATTATCCCAACAAAAATGCCTTGCTGAGATACTGTCTATTTTTGGCAACGAAGCGCCACATCAGTCGACAATATCCTGTTGGTATGGAGAATTCAAACGTGGACGGATGAGTCTTAGCGACGATCCCAGGGTGGGTGCATCAAAAACGGCAGTCACCCAGGAAAACGTCGATGCTGTGCGCAAACTCATCATTGAAGATAGACATGTGACATATCGCGAGATTGAGGCGTCCTGGAAGATCTCAAAGACCTCAATTCAAAAAATTTTACGTGAACAATTAGGAGTAAGTTAATTGGTTTCTCGTTGGATACCCCACCTGTTGACTGAAGAGCAGAAAGCAGCCAGGGTTAACTGGTGTCCAAAAACGATTGACTGTTTCAATTCCGGAAAGTCAAAAAATGTGTACAGCATTGTTAGTGGTGATTAATCGTGGATTTACTGTTATGAACCAGAAAATAAATGACAGTCGGCTGTTTGGGTGTTCCAAGGTGAAGAAAAGCCAACAAAAGTCATCCGTTCTCGAAGTGTTTCGAAAGAGATGTTCGCGACATTTGTGTCAAAAGCGGGTCATATTGCAACAATTCCTCTTAATGAGCAAAGAACTGTTACTGCGGATTGGTATATATTGCGAAAAGTCATCACCGAGCTTCGAAAAATCAACCCCGAAAGAAGAATCATCCCCCATCAAGACAATGCAAGCTCGCATACAGCTCAAAAAGCAAGGCAGTATTTAACGGAAGAAAACGTGGAATTATTGGACCATCTTCCATATAGTTCCAATCTAAGTCCTAACGATTTCTTTACTTTCCCGAAAATTAAAAACAGACTGCGTGGTCAAAGGTTCCAGACACCAGAAGAAGCAGTTGACGCATTCAAAACGTTTTGGATCTGCCAGCAAACGAGTGGAATAAGTGCTTCGAAAATTGGTTCGAGCGCATGCAGATGTGTATTAATCTTCGTGGAGAATACTTCGAAAAACAATAAAGTCATTTAAAACTACCTACCGTGTTGTTTTATTTCCATATGCAAAAGTCATCCCTTGTATAATGGAAAACACTGCTTTCTTGAGGGAACAGAGGTTTGGCGACGTGTATGTATGACATTTTTGGAATTGTGCAAAAAACGATATGACTTCCATAAGAAAACTAATGTTTTTTTTGGAGACAAAAGACGGAACGTCGTATTGAGATTCTGATTATTCCACCTAGTAGAGGCGAAATATGGCACTGGTAATGTGCAATTGGTCTTAAAGTTCCACCTAAAATATAGCCAAGATAAAATAAACACGATTTTGCCGAAATTTGGTTCATATCGTTTTTCTCTGGGAATACTATTAACTTATATGTTTGTATAAGCATGTGGCCGCAATTCTCTATACTTCAAACCCGTAACACCTTTGAATATGCAAAAATAAAAGTGTCATGCCATTGCGCTCACAATAAACAAAAGTTGCAGCCTCACTATAATAATCTGGATTCATTTGTTCCATTTTTATTGTGAGCGGATTACCCCAACACTTCCATTTTTATATATGCTTTGTCTTGGTCTGTTTCATCACAAATTTGAAGTAGGAAGTATGCACCTTATACAAATATAGTAAGCTCAATATTGGAAATCGAGTGAATTTTTGAAGAATGTCAAAATTGTAACTTCGGGCTTTTAAAAAGCAATCAAATACTAAACTAAACTGAAAAATCAACAATATTTCGCTTGGTTTGGAACAAGTTCCATAAAATAAGATAAAAAGTTTACAGTTAATCTTGAATTCAAAATGACAGAAAAGTTATTCGAAATTTTGCCATTTTAGAATATCTAGTGCTGCTTTCGCAATAAGAAAAAAGTAACGTATTCATAATACCTTTTCTGAAGTTACCCACGAACCGTTCTTATTTTAAGCAAGCGTCACGAGCTTTTAGCGCAAATATTAACCGAATCGCAATTTATAAAGGCTTGTTACGTTACTTAGTAAATATTTCAACGCCCAACTGAGGAGATTATATTTTTACTCCATTTCTCCATACATTGACTTGTATTTTCTTTCTTCTTCATCCTTGAAGCGAAGCTCTGGTTGATCCATACGACCTTTGCTTTTTTATTATAATGACTCAATTAGTTTGATAATCGGTTTTGAATAGTTTAGGAGATTAGTGGTTTTGCATCAATTACAAGTTATGTATTTATGTTAACCGGCATGACCACATTATGTAGGACTTGATAGTAGCTCCAATAGTCTGACATGCGTGAAATCGAATGGCAAGAACGAGTGAATATTCCGTTATACAATATGCATCGAAACCGAACAGTTCGAATTTCTACAATCATTATTAGTTGTTTCGTCAAATTTGGTGGGATGGAGTACTCGTAAACGAGGAACATGAGGGTAGGAAAGCAATGTTCAATGAGCTTAATCAATTTGATATAATTTACTCCGAAATCAGGATTTTGCGGAGTATCTGATGTCATGGATTTCAAGCACTGATATCATACACTCTATCGTAAGCGCATCGCTTTGCGAACGAATAACGTTTATCCTAAAAGTTCTGGCACAACATATATTTATCGGATTGTTTCTTAATGAAGAAATTTATTAAAACACTAACAAGTTACCATAAATTACAACTCAATGCCTAACTACACTATACTATCGAATTATGTGTAGTGGCCCATTTTACCCTACCAGACATAACTTTATTCGAATGTCACTCATGAGATCGTCGACGGAATTCAGATCAATTTTTCTCAGTCTTTCGTAAATTCACCGTCTTAATTGTTATTCATTTTGGACTTCCCAGTCTCCAGGATAAAGTTTACTAGACAGTAAATCACAAAAATCCTCTATTGGGCGAGCCTGCAGCAAGTTTCGAGGATTATCGTTTTTGGGAACAAAAGGTATGTTGTGTGGTCGCAGCCAGTTTTGGGCATCTCTTGAGTAATGATATGGTCATTAGCATGATGCCGGTGAAGCAACTTGGAAACGCAGGTATCAATGTAGCTCAGAACATGCAATGCCTCACCCTTCACTCATCCCACAAAAGGTTGGGATACACCCCTGTTAGAAGCTGCGCACCAGACAAGGATTTTATCTTTAAATTTCGCTTTATGCTTGCATCTAGCATTCTCACGTCGTCTGTATAAAATCCGTCGTTTCCCTTCATTTCAGCATTACTCAAAGTGAAATACTTCTCGTATCTAAAATAATGATTTTTCCGCCTCAGTTGATGACAGCATCTTGGTCTACGAAGGACTTGCGCTTGAGAGTATTTGGGGCACTTAAGTCTCTTTCGATATTTAAGACCATTCCTCGTCGATTCCAGTCGATTTTTTGCTCTTGTCACCAATCTCTCTGTCCTCTGTGCAGGAAATGCACGTGCCACGTGGTACTTCCACTTTTTGGGAGATTCAGACATGGTATTCCCTGCTCGCAGTCCGCTATTGTTCGATAAATGGTTCTGCGTGAAATGTTTTCATTCTGGAATATTCGACACTCCCAACCAACTTGTAGATACTTTTTCTTATTAATAATTTATACGACATCATTCAAGGTTAAGTGGAAGAACAGATGTGTGTCACATCAGTGGCGGACATCTGAACTTCGCCCTTCGCCAAAATATTTTTTTTATACAAATGTATACTAATTGGTTGATGTTTGGCGAATAAAGACGTTTATTATTATTATTATTATTATTATTATTATTATTATTATTATTATTACCTCAAACCGAAAACTTCAAAATAAATAAATGTCAACCGACGGTAAAGTAAATGAGCAAACTTTTGTTTCCAAAGGCAACTTAATATTATTTTGTGTTTGTTAAAATTAAAGCCAATGTGCCAACGCTTTTAGGACATACATTATGCGTTCCCAGGCTTCATTTTACGCCAAACCCAAGAAGTTTCTTGCCATCGGTTCGCATCATACTAAAGGTCGCTTATTTGAAATACGTTGCAGTGCATGGCCCGCTTTAGCTCCGCACTCGCGGGAGAGTGGTATCTTCAAGGTGTATCACTTAGGGGAAAGTGGGTCATATCCAGGTAGCGACTCACCTGTCTCCCTGAATCTGTTCTGTGCCCCCTGGAACAGTCTGGCGGGCTGTGCGAGCAGCAGTCTCCCGCGGATGCCCGTGGGGGCAGCTGCAGTCGGGACACCCCGTAGATCCACGTTGGCCACTGTCCGACGACAGACGGACGGACGAACACTCGGGAACAGGGCGCGGTCGCGACGCGGTCTGTTCGCCTCTGTTGGCGGCGAGGGTATGAGCGTTGTGACCGGGGGTGGCGAGACGCGCAGGCGCGATGCTGGGGGCGGCCGGGAGCTAAAAATGGGCGGGCCCGGGGCGGTCGCCTGGATATCGATCGACATGAGGCAGACGAGCCATCATAACGGCGATGTAGGGGTTGTTTGATGGGGTAAAGGGGCGGTCAAAAGTCATCTTAACGGCACTAAGCATAGTTTTAGGTTGCTGTGGAACATGTGGGTACTCAAAGAGTGATTAGTTCTGAAATTGCAGTATTCTTAATACAATGACGGAATCTAAGCGAGATGGTTCCAAGAACTGGAGCTTGTATAGTCATATCATAGCTCCTTCTAATGTTCTACGACTCCGGCATTTTCCTAGAGGGCTGGGAGTTTATCTTTACCAAAAATGTTTGAAGACTGATCCTAACAACTACCGACCTTCTGAAATTGTCGTATTGATGGATAGCTGTATTATTAGGGATCTTATAAAAGTCTTGGAGCTTGATTATCGACTGATCTCCTAACTTTCGTAATACAGTTGTGGAATTAAACTCATTTAAGTAAGTCATTGAGGTTCACAGTGAAACTCCACTTTGTCATGCTACCGCCTTTTGCAACAGTTTCATTTGGCTAAGTGCTGCCTAGAGGAAACGTTCATGTGGTCCAGGGGTCCTACCTGTTGTCACCTTGGTTGATTAGCCTTCCTATACAAAATACAGAATTGTGAGCAGTGGCAAAGCTACTGCCCCAATACACAAACTTCCATATTGTGGCTTTAGAGAGGAGCTTTGCAGATGGGTGACTGACTCCTCCGCATGTCGTAAGATACCTGTCATAGTAGTAGTCCTGACAATGCGGATGCTCTCCATAAATCAGTTTTGGCTTCAACACTGTTTTTGTCGCATATTTTTCGACCCTCGACCAAGAAGCCATTCGTTTCAGCTAGTTGGAGCTTAACTCACAGAGGACTTGATTTGGCACGAACAAGTCATTATAGATGCTGGTGATAAGAAGTTGGGATACCTACTTAGGACTAGAAAGTACTTTTCTCCCCACTCTGTACCAGACCTAGATAAGAACTGTTTCAAATGTCCCCGTTCATACTTGATTTTGTTCAGAATAGGGAATAGGGAACACACTTATGGATACCACTTCCTTAATTAATGGCCTTTGACTTCTTTCACGCCGATAAGTATCTGGCGATATGACTTTCTCTATCGAAGTGCCAATGGACCTTGTACCTATAAGTTTTTCTGTGATGATATTGTCGCTCCTTAGCTCTGCAAGCTACGACTTTTCGCTCCATCTATTAAGCTCGAGTAATGGTTGGCATAACTGCTGCTTTGTTCCTAGGGTGTCCAAATTTTACTTTACAACCTATACTCACACTAGGCCAAACATCGGCTCACCATGTTTGACCTCTTTTATGAGACCTGATACCGCAGTATTCAGCATATTATATACTGTGTTTTCAGAAATGTTTGACCAAACCAAGTTATTAAACTGAATATTACTATATTTTGACATTAAAATAACTGCCTAGCCACCATCTTGATACATTTATTGAAAAGCAATAGGGGGTCATGTTATACTTCATTTCGAAGCTCCTCATGGATATTGTATAACCCTAGAGCATAATATCGTTACCCTTCAAACGAATTGTCAAAGTTGAGAGTCTTTTTAACTCGACCAATCTGTCAGATACCTTGGAGTCATCATTGACAAGGGGTTGACCTGGCAGAAACATACAGATATTGTGAAAACAGAATTCCAAATTACGTTTCGGCAACTTCATCCTTTGTTGTGCAGAAATTCAAAATTAAGTTTGACCAACAAGATTTGATTGTATAAAATGGTCATAAGACCCGCAATCCCCTACGCATGCGCGGCTTGGTGTTTTCTTGCTAAGACGCACATGCAGAGAGTGCAAGTCCTGCAAAACAGAACCCTACGCACAATCACTAACGCCCCTTGGTACGTGTCAAATGAGACCATTAACAGAAATCTTGATATCCCATATCTAGGAGAATATGTAAAACAACAGGCACAACGGAGTTATAATCAATCCGAATCGCACAGTAACCCTCTGTTGCGTGATTCAGTAGACTACACAGTCGAGCAAGTTTGCAAACATTCCAGGCCGCGCTTCGCACTGTGATCAAAATTAAATTGCGAATTCAGACCAGCCAAAATTATTTCAGTATACAAAACGGATCAAAATTATTTTATAATATATATAATTATTCGAGTAGTCAAAGCAATAATGCTTAAGCTTTTTCAAATGATTTACTTCTTTTCTTTGTTCTATTTCTTCCTTCCTCTCTTTCCTTCTTTCCCTTTTCCCCTTAAACATGTTTGGTATCTGGGTAGCCAGACCTGACAGACTAACAGACCGACGAGCCTTTTAACTAAGAGCAAAGGTCCACCGGACCGCTCTAACGAACAATGACGAATAGTAGTTATAACATCAAAACGTTATAGTAAGCAATATCAGTTTTGAAAGTGTCTGAGTGTGCAATAAAATATTCAGTTTAAAAAGATTGACAGATTTTGACCCAATGTACAACAACCCCCGACTTGGACAGCCTTTCAGTCCATTGCTGAACATGGCGATTTTATATTCTAGGGTTATAGCGTACTTACGGGGAGCTTCAAAAAGGAGGTATCACATCCTACCCATCTTGAAATTTTCAACTGCCACATTCATGCTAAAACACAACGTTCCAGCATCAATTTTATCGCCCTAAATTTCAGGTTGCTAACTCTATCCCTTCAAAAAATATATGTACATCTTTATAAAAGCACTGTATATCAATAGTCAATATTAAGGTGAATGTGCTATTGATTACAGATGTGCACCTCCACCAAATCTTGATAATGTTTAGGAGCCAAGCTGACTATTTTGAGATCACTACCAGCCCACTGAAGTTTGAAGAGCAAAGAGCGACCTGTTTCCTGGGAGGCTTCTAACTGCCTTTCTAGTTCTCTTACTAATAGCTTGAAGATAAATACAGTTCGTTTGGGGCCGTTCAAGTATTACGTAAGCAGATTTATTACAATTATTTACCCCCCCATCCCCCGTGTCAGCAAAATTAAGCAAAGCTCTTACTTACCCCCTCCCCCCATGCTTACGTAAACATTTGTCAATTAATGTATTGTTTTTTTTTTAATATTATAATTATAACGTTATAATTATAATTTGAAAAATAAGAAAATAGATTTAGGATAGAGATTACATTTTACTGATACGGTATTCACCATAGAGTAAAGAACAAAAATATTATATCTTACTAACATAACAAACATAAATTCAAATTAAGTCTTCAGTCCATGAAACCCGAATCCATGATTCTAAGTTTTCGATGACATTCGATTGCTTCGATTGCTGCTCATTGTTGTGAGTTGGCTCGCTTTCATCGGATTTTGGAATGTCTACGTCGTTCTCATCGAGCCATTCACATCATGGTGCTCTAAATTTTGAATAATGCACATCAGTTCATTAGCACGACAAGCAGCGACTCTTACAGGTCTAACCTTCCTATCAGTGTGCGTGTTTACTTTTGCATGTTCGACTTGATAGCCTCAATTTTACTGTCGAACAAAAATAATCTTAGGGTATTTGCACGAAATCCTTGTGTGAAGCACTTAAGCGTAGAGCTAAATTGACTGGAAGATTAAGAAATTGCCCTCCTTCATCCAAAACCAAGTCATCAACTGTTTGTTCTACTTTCACAGGTGGTGGAAGAAACCTATTGTCTAGTAATCTAAATAGGCCACTTCTTGAACGACAGCATTCTGTATTTCTACATTTTATAATTTGAAGCAAGTATTGGCTCTCGCGCACATGTTCTGAATACCATTTAATGTCTGAAAAATCAGGAAGATCTTGTTCACCTGCCCCAACATATTCTGCATTAACATTATAGCCATCAATTTCCATTGAACTCCATACTTCAGCTAATGAATTTCCTGCAAATTCGAAATTAGATCTTTCTAAATGTTCATCAATTGTACCGCCACGTTCATCCAAATGAGACCCAAAATGGTCATGAGGCAATATTAAACCAGCCAGTTCCCGACTAAGAGGAGCCATTCTGCGCTCTACTCTGTTATACGCACTTCTTCCTGGAGCATTGGTAGCTAAAAACAATGCATCGAGATCATGTCGCTTAAAGTGTTGTATAGCAAACCCTATGACTTTTTGATAACGTGGATTTTCATCTGGCCCTCCATCAACCGTCATGATTACCACAAGTTTTACTAGTCCATGGTCAGTTTTAGCTAATGGTCGAAACTCTTCAAGTTCGAGAAGCGTCTCGAAATCCCGAGCATGAGTATTAGCAGTAGATGAACTATGGTTTCCACTTCGAATAGCGATGTATGTTGGTCCAGAATATCCAACGGCTTGCGGTTGTCCTAGCATATTGGAAGTGATTTTGATACCAGCATAAACAGATCGTATTAATTTATGACGCTGAGCGATTACCCAATCGTGATCAGGCAACTTGATTCTATATTCCATGTGCATTAGAAGAGCTGCTTGCTTATTTGCCGCAGTTACGCCAATAGGGACTCGAGATTTATCATTTTGAGATATGAAAAATACTTGATCTGGTCCAAGTATGGATGCTATGTTCTCTAAATAATGGATTGATGTTTCAGCGAACTTGCTATCTCATTGGCTCTTGTGGTGATCAGTTTGAGCCCGAATGGGCTTAACAGGGACTGTCGATACATGTCTTCGTCCCTCTGCAAATCGATAATATAATGAATATTACCTCTATACTTTGAGATAGGCCATAATATTTTCTAATCAGTAAAGAGAAACTTTTTGGCGATTTCTAATATTTCTAGTACTCATAGGTACATGAAATGATTTCGTCACCACCTTAGAAAAAAAATTTAGTAGATTGGATTTATTCTTAGTCGCCGCTTGCAATTCTTCTTCGATTCTCTCAGATACAATAATCCTTGTCGGATTTTGCTTGTAATTTGTAATTTCGCCACACTTCGTTAACTAACTTTTGTACATTTTGTACTTTCGTACTTGCATGAGATTTTTTAAAACTTTCAAACAATTTTTGGTATAACTTGGATTTGTCTATGTGAAACGACATCTTGTT